TACCGTTTAAGATGCACTTAAGCTTATCAGCGCGCGCGTCCTGAGCTGCCGCCGGATGCTCAGAGCCCGCGCTGGCCGAGCGCTTAGCTCCTGTGGTGGTGGCTGCAACCAACTTGTGTGGTGCCTTGTGTGGTGCCTTGTGTGGTGTGGTGCCTTGGTCCCCATACCATCCCTGATCCCACTATGATATGGTCCCCAAACCATCCCTGANCCCCATTCCCGAACCCCTCCTCCTCCCCCGCTGGGAATATGCATCGGTACAGGCTAATGACCAGAATTTTAATGACTTGACCTATCCATTCTATCCAATCGCGAGGCTTCGCGGAAAAATTGTTGAATAAAAATTTTTTATTTAATTCAATGTTGAATTCTTAATAATTTGCATCTTATCGGATATTAAATATTACCATGCCTTTGCTATCTCAAAGGTGTTGATAAAAGGTTTTGTGTAGAGTTTGTGGTTGTAAAGTAGTTGCGTCAACCTGACATTTGGAACGCGGTCTAGAGATGGTAGCGAGAGAGGTCTGATTTACAACACTTCTCTTTAACTTCACTTCTTGTTTGTTTCTTTATTTGTTTGTTTGTTTGTCTGCTAGAAATCTTATTATTGATATTTAACACACTTCTACCTGTCCAAACGATCTGAAATTTTGCACACTTGCGTAAAGTCGGGGACAATGCATGAATCAATTGACAGAATAAAATCAATTAATAATTTTTAAAATTTACATTTTTTATATATATTAAACAAAGTCAAAAATTATTTATTTTTAATAAATGAAAATAAAATTAGAAATTCATTGTACACGTGTAAAATCGGAGACACCGGTTTCTTGTCTTTAAAAAGAATAAAGTGTTGTCTTTATAAAGAAATTTTCAAACGCATACTATTATTTAATGCTGTAACCTCCACACCGTATTTTGACGTATTATCCACACCGTATTTTGACGTATTATCCACACCGTATTTTGACGTATTATCCACACCGTATTTTGACGTATTATCCACACCGTATTTTCCACGCCGTATCCCCGAAGCGGGGCCGGGCGCTGCGAGTGCAGGTCTCGCGTGTTGGAATTACCCGCGTCATCTCATCCTGTTGTTGTTAGGCACAAAAGCGGTCAATTGCACCTGTACCTTAACTCTGGCGACCGTCGTAATGGATACGACCATCATAATTGTTACGACTATCCCCACTGGTTACGACCATCCCACTAGTTACGACCATCGTAATAGGTACGACCATCCCACTAGTTACGACCATCGTAATAGGTACGACCGTCCCACTAGTTACGACCATCGTAATAGGTACGACCATCATACTAGTTACGACCATCGTAATAGGTACGACCATCTAGTTACGACCATCGTAATAGGTACGACCATCCCACTAGTTACGACCATCGTAATAGGTACGACCGTCCCACTAGTTACGACCATCGTAATAGGTACGACCATCATACTAGTTACGACCATCGTAATAGGTACGACCATCCCACTAGTTACGACCATCGTAATAGGTACGACCATCCCACTAGTTACGACCATCGTAATAGGTACGACCATCCCACTAGTTACGACCATCCCACTAGTTACGACCATCTACTTCATCTGTGAAGAGACATTGTACCAACACAGGCTATGATAGATACAGGAGGCATGATACTACGCATGCTGTGTGGAATAGCTACATTGTAGACGACGCTTGTTGAGGTTGCATTGTACAGTCTGTGGCCACAATAAGCCGTGTACTGCGTACAGTGTGGCACACAATGCCACCGCCTGCTCCATTGTCACGGCTGGCCACAGTGGCGTCGACCCCTTTGGAAAATCGGGTCAAAATCAGATCCGGCTGATGGGCGGCCGCTGGTGTGCCGTGCGTAAAGCACCTGTGCCTTGTTGTACAATTGTAATACATTGTATTGTGTGCACCAGATGCGCTGTATTGCCTTGACGCGCGTGTTTGTGAAAAGAATAAAACCCCAGCCCAGCGCATATTTGATGCGCGCAGGTGTTTGGTGCGCAGCTGGTAGTTTTAATCTAATTTGCATTAACTAAATCCAGCGCACCCAAAAGCAGCAGGTTATTTTATGGGTTTAATCAAGCTACCCTCGACAAGGTCATCTGGAGCCGCAAGTCTACGGGGCCGGCCCGCCTCACTCCAGGCAAGAAGGAGCGGGAGGATGCCATGCATTAGACCGGTGGTTCCCAAAGTGGGATAGCGCGCTATCGCCCCCTTGCGGGCGGTGGAAAGATCTGGGAGGGGGCGGTAAGGAAGAAAGGGGCGATAGGGGGTGGTAGTCCGAAGTTGAAGTCAGAAATACGAACGTTTGTTTGACGATTTGTACACAACACGTGCAGCACATGACTCCCAGCGATGGGTTTTTCCACCCAGGTCTGGGTTTTTTGAACCTCTCCTGGGTTTAAGTTTCAGACAAACTTACTGGGCGGATTCGCGGCCAGTTTCCAAATTCAGTGATCAAGGGATATCTCTCAAACTAATTAACGTAACTTGATGAAACTTGGTAAACGTATTAATTAGGACCTAACGGCGCTGTTTAGCTTGTGAAAATTTTTTAATTTCGCCTTCATTCATGAGTTATATGGCGATATGGGCCGAAATCTTTTGTGATCAAGGAATTTCTTCCAAACTACTGAACAGATTTGAACTAAATCTTAATTATACATTCCTAACTACTGAACGGTGATGTTTAGCTCCGTGAAATTTTTTTCTATTTGCCTTCGTTCGCAAGTTTTTTTTATTTCGCCTCCATTCGTGATTTAAACAGCAATACGTGCCTAAATCCGCAGTAATCAAAAAATTTCTTCTAAACTACTGAACAGATATGAACGAAACTTCGTATTGAAATACTTAACCTCAACAACGGTGATGTTTAGCTCATGCCAATTTTTTCCATTTTGCCTTCGTTTGCGAGTTATACGGCTATACGTATACGGCTCTTGTTTAAACCGGCCGGTCAGTTTCTGGTCAGAATCGGCAAGGAGATCGGGCGGTTAAGCTAAGAAATTTTTAAGCAGCTAGTTGCGATTTCGAGACCGCAACAAGCTGTGGATGTTCTGCAATGTTGAGAATCGGCGACAGGCCTACGACCTAATAAACGCTGAAACCGCTAAACCGCTATATACATTAAAGCAACAAATTACCCGGCTGTACGGGCGGAATAAAGAATTGTGAAATCACCAATGACGGTGAAATGAAGAAAACTCGAAAACGAAGGCGAAATCTACAAAATTTTCACGAGCTGAAAATCACCGTTTGGTAGTTGAATGTATATTCAAAATTTCGTTCTAATCTGTTCAGTAGTTTGGAAGGAAATCTTCGATCACTGCGAATTTGGCCCGTATCGCCATAAAAGGTGAAATTTATAAAAATTATCACGAGCTGTTAGGTCATAATGAATGCATGTTCCAAGTTTCATCGAGCTGCGTTCATTAGTTTGGGAGATATTCATTGATAATTGAATTTGGAAATTGACCACGAGTCCGGCCGTAAATTTGTCCGAGCCGTCTTGGGTTTCTAGTGCTGAAACGGTTGAAAGTGCTAAAAAATATTTGGTCTACTAAATGGGGTTATGTGTTTGAAATACACATTTGTGTTTAACCTTTCTCGTTTAAAATAGCAGCGTACTAAATGTCAAGGGAGAGGCGTTTGTTTTTACATGTACCTGTGCGGGGGGGGGGCGCTCTAGAATTCACTGGGGAGCCAACGGGGTGGAGGGGGGGAGGGGTGCCAGTCTGAAAAAGTTTGTGAAGCACTGCATCAGAGGGACAGTGAGAGCTACTCTCACTCTGAGTATCAGCGTCGTACGGCTTACGATCTTCGTAAATCTCGGGATAAACAAAGACTTTACCATCACCGAAGAACTTGCGATAGTGGCCAGTATAGGCGCGGTATCAGCGGCCGTCTGTAGGGCATTAGAGACGGCCATGTTGCCAGTATAGGCGCGTTATCAGCGGCCGTCTGTAGGGCGTTAGAGGCGACCATGTGGCCAGTATAGGCGCGGTATCGGCGGCCGTCTGTAGGGCGTTAGAGACGGCCATGTTGCCAGTATAGGCGCGTTATCANTTGCGTGTATGTTCTGTGCTGTATGGTGCTCGTGTGCTGCTGTGTTGTGTATCTTGTATGTTCTGTGCTGTATGGTGCTCGTGTGCTGCTGTGTTGTGTGTTGTGTTGCGTGTATGTTCTGTGCTGTATGGCGCTCGTGTGCTGCTGTGTTGTGTTATGTGTTGCTTGTATGTTCTGTGTTGTATGGCGTTCGTGTGCTTCTGTGTTGTGTGTTGTGTTGCTTGTATGTTGTGTGCTGTATGACGCTCGTGTACTGCTGTGTTGTGTGTTGTGTTGCTTGTATGTTGTGTGCTGTATGACGCTCGTGTACTGCTGTGTTGTGTGTTGTGTTGCTTGTATGTTCTGTGCTGTATGACGCTCGTGTACTGCTGTGTTGTGTGTTGTGTTGCTTGTATGTTATGTGCTGTATGATGCTCGTGTACTGCTGTGTTGTGTGTTGTGTTGCTTGTATGTTCGTGCTGTATAGCGCTCGTGTGCTTCTGTGTTGTGTTGCTTGTATGTTCTGTGCTGTATGACGTTCGTTTGCTTCTGTGTTGTGTGTTGTGTTGCTTGTATGTTCTGTGCTGTATGACCCTCGTGTACTGCTGTGTTGTGTTGCGTGTATGTTCTGTGCTGTATGACGTTCGTGTAGGTCTTGTGTTATGAGCGTGGCATCAGATAACACATTCTCATGCACCATATGCCTATTCTTGTTGATGATTATTCATTATAGATTTGTACCGTCAATCACTAGTATCACTCAGGGCTACTCACTAATTGTCATTCGTCACAGGTTTAATTAACACGAACTATGAGTGGCACCATTGTATGATCATCATTACTCATCTCTACTCACCTTAAAGTTATGTCACCAATTGTTATCCATCGCCGCTCACCACAACGCAGCATACCTCATCTCCTCTTTGTCCACAGGAATTGTCCTCCGTAGACCTCCGCTGTAGTATGTCTGCCTCCACCTGTCCACCGCTGTCCACCAACACCCCCACCACCACGTCCACCAACAGCAACAGTAGCAACAGCAACAGCAATAACAGCAGCACAACAGGCCCCGTTGCAGCGCAGCAACAGTACTGTTTGAAATGGAACAACCACCAGAGCAACCTGTTGAGGGCCTTCGACCGCCTCCTCCACTCCGAGGCCTTCACTGACGTTACCCTCGCCGCCGAGGGCAGGTCCCTCAGGGCGCACAAGGTGAGGGCATCGCTGGGTACGTGAGGTCAGGGCATGTGAGGGTACGTCAGGTCAGGGCATCGCTGGCTACGTCAGGGTATGTGAGGGTACGTTAGGTCAGGGTATGTGAGGGTACGTCAGGTCAGGGCATGTGAGGGTACGTCAGGTCAGGGCATGTGAGGGTACGTCAGGTCAGGGTATGTGAGGGTACGTCAGGTCAGGACATGTGAGGGTACGTCAGGTCAGGGCATGTGAGGGTACGTCAGGTCAGGGTACGCTAGGGTACATGAGACGAGGACACTAGTAGATGAGAAGAGCGAGTCGTGGGTTCGAACCTTGTTAAGCTCAAATCAATTCTTGGTGTCTGATGGGTTGGTAGCCATCAAATATGGTGCATGCAGCATGACCTTCGGTTGCCTTTAAACAAAGTCTAAACAAACCCTAAGTAGATCTTAATTGGGGCATCCTGATATCTTTAGACGACCTCTAACCCCCCTGACGCCGCAGGTGGTGCTGTCAGCATGCAGCTCGTACTTCGAGACGCTGTTCGAGGAGCATCCTGACAAGGCTCCCATCATCATCCTGAAGGACATGCGCTTCACGCACGTCGCGCAGCTCGTCAACTTCATGTACAGGGGCGAGATCAACATCACGCAGGTGTGTTGAACACCACGCAGCTGTGTTGAACATCACGCAGGTGTGTTGAATTTCTGTTGATGCGTGCAACATCATGCAAGTGCTCACCAGACATGCCCTCTTGCCCTCAGGACATGCTGGCCGGTCTCCTGAAGACCGCTGAGACCCTCAAAGTCAAGGGTCTGGCCGAGGTGTCTGGCAACGCCCCCGCCTCCCCAACCGACAACAACGACAACAACAACACCACGTCCCCCCAACCCACGGGGCTGCAACCCCCCTTCCCCCCCGCGGCAGCCCCCAACTCTGCAGCTGCGGTGCATGCAGCGGCTGCAGCTGCAGCTGCTGCAGTGTCTGCAGCGTCTATTGCGTACAGGATGGGGGTGAGGGCTGCGTAATTTTACGACTCGTAACTTTAACGAGGGAACATCTTAGTCTTACGACTCGTAACTTTAATGAGGGAACCTCTTAGTCGTACGACTCGTAACTTTAATGAGGTAACTTACTTTTACGACTCGTAACTTTAATGAGGTAACCTCTTATCTTCTGATAATCATACATCGCGTCATCACGAGATGTGTACGGCGCGGTCCCTATACTCAGCGTTGGCTCTCTGGAGGCTCGTCGTCGCGCGCTGCGTAATTATACGTGTATGACATCTGGACGAAAATTTTCCGCAAGGAGAGAAAATCCAAATAAAATCAGAGGCAAGCCAGAAAAATTATCGTTATTATTTTTTAAAATAAAAGTTCTTGGCCTATATATTTTACTGGGTCTGATCATGACCTATACCCTGCAGACCGCCAGCAGCCCCGGTGGAGGGTCTCACTCGTCCGTCCTGAACGCAGCCCTGAGTGGGGGGCAGCCCACCGCCCCCCCGTCCCTAGCCCCCCTCGCTGCCCTCCTCGCCCCCCAAGGGGTGAGTAAAATAAGGGTGCCTTAGAACGCAGAAGTTTTGGCCTCAAATCATTCATGTGAAATGAACAAATGTAAAATATTCGTTTTGCTTACTCGATATGAATCGTAGACTTGAGGCTATTACTGTACTATCCTGTACCACAGCTGGACTAACTGTACCCCGTGCCCCCAGCTGGACTAACTGTACCCCCGTGCCCCTGCTGGACTAACTGTACCCCCGTGCCCCCAGCTGGACTAACTGTACCCCCGTGCCCCCAGCTGGACGCGGACGAGCAGCGGGTGAACCTCCTCAAGCGGATGGCCAACAACAACAACAACAGCGACTGCCACGACCTCAAGCCCATGGAGCCCCTGAGCAAACTTCCCCGTAGGGATGACCTCCCCAACCTGGGCAGCAACTCCAACTCCCCGCCCCTGCACCGCCAGCAGCACTACCTGCACGCCTCCCCACCCCACCGCCACCAGTCCCCTAGGTGCGGGGCATCTCACTATCATCAAAGATATATTTTCAGTTTGAATTCTTACTAATGATATCCAAATCATACCTACTATCATCAAAGATATATTGTTTAATTCTTATTGTTAATATTCAATCGAAAAATATTTCGTTTAATTTACAAATTATTAAGCTAACTTAGCCCGGTATTACCTAGGCTGAGTTTGCCGAGGGTGAGGCTGAGTGAACTTAGTTTGGGTTTAATTAAAGTGACGCTGCATTTCCTTCGCGTGCAGCACGAGCAGCCTGCTGCAGCACTCAGCACACTTCCTGAGCGGGGTGGGCGTCCCCCGACCCCCCACCCTCCCCTCCAAGTCCAACAGTCCCCACCACGTCCCCGGCCTTACCCCCCTCCCCAAGGAGCTCACAGTCAACGCTCAGCACGAGCTCCGTAAGTGCCCTGTAGTCTCATTAATATTAATAATCATATTTGTTATCTTATTAATATGATCAATTATAGTGCGGTGTATATATCTTTTTAGACTCCACGCCATCCTAACATCTCCTCATCGAGATATCACGTGCAACGGGCTATATAGGTATTTGCTATGAATATAGCATTTCTTGTTAAGATTCAAAAGCTCACAAACACTTTGGAATGTAAGTTAAAGCTTATGAAGTGTGATATGATTGTCAAATCGCACGAAATAACTGTCACAAGTGACCCATTAAATGTCCAAAGTTTTGTTCGCGACAAAGTGGTCCATTAAACTTGAAGCCGCCACCTCAAGGCAAGTTGGGTCAAACTTAGTCACCAGTGAGTTCGGCCGTTCATACTTCAGTGGCGATCTCTGGAGATGGGCTCTCTATCAAATTATATGCTTATTTAATTTTGGCAGTGTTTGGTAGGCCTAGTGCTGCAGTACAACAAAAAAAATTCTGTAGTTATAAGGTAATTATTGCAATATTGTCACCAAAAAAAAATTTCCACAGAAGAATAGTTCGAGCACAAACTCCAGCACAAATCTAAGTTGTAGTTTCGCGAAACCGCCACTTAAAGGGCTGAAAAATGTCGGCCCTTAATAGGGAAGTGCAATGCAATTTTTTTCTCTTATGAATCCCATATAACTGTTGAATCGAAACGTGAAGTATTTCTTCTCGTTTACCGAGATTTTGGTTGTTGTACGAACAGCTGAGTTCTTGCGAGGGTACATGGTCTTCAAGCTGAACGACTACCTAGGCTTCAGAACGCGGCAGCAGTTCTGGGAGGAAGACGCCGTGCGTCGCATCATGGAGGGCATCAAAAACAAGGAAATTGACATGAAGACGGCCGCTGAACTGCTGGGGGTGTCCTACGGCACACTTTACGGCAGATACAGAGAAGTGTTTGGATACCTCAAGCACTCATGGGTGAGTATCTTACGGCAGATACTGAGTAGTGATTCACACAGAGAGTGTGTGTGGCTGAAGTGCTATATACTAACAAACTCTGCAGCCTAACCCACCTTTAACTGACGGCCATTCTCTTTACCAGGCCTCTAGGTACAAATAGCGTTTACGTTGGTTAATTTATCCGTTAATGAAGGTTTACCAGAGTCTTCACCGTGCAGGTCAACAAGGGTGGCAGGGGGAGCGTGTCGGGCAGTAAGGAGCCCCGCAGCATCTGGGAGGAGAGTCGGGCCCAGGAGCTTATCCTTGCGGTACTCAATAAAGAATTAAGCTTAACTGCCGCCGCCGTCAGGCTCGGCGTCGACACCAACACCTTCTTTGCTCATCTCACTGATAACGGCAAAAATAAGCAACGCGTTGCTCAGTTGATGGCCGGGCCCCTACCTAACGCCCCCAAGAATCCCTTGTTGTCCCTTGGCCCTCCAGGGAGCATGATGTCTGAACAAACTGCTAGTTTGCTAAGCGAACACGCTGCTAACCTGCTCGCCGAACACCACAAAAACCTCGAACTCGCGTCCCAAAACGAACATTCTTTACTCGAAACACCTCACAGAACCATTGACCTGATGTCTCCCGAGAACACCCCCAGCGCCAACGTCTCCGACAATGAAGAGGAAGATCTCGAAGACGAGGAATATCCTAATGAAGATCCTCGAGATTTTCGTGATCCACAAGTGGAAGCGGAGGATCTTGTGGCTAGGGATTTGTCCATGAACTGTGGTGTTGATTTGTCGCAACATTCAGAAGGTGAGAGCAACAGTCGGGCATCGGTTGATGAGGAGACCGCAGACCTCAACGACTCGACGGCACTCATGACGCAATATGAGCAGGCCGAGCACCTCAACAACGGCGGGGTGAAGGACGAGCAAGACGAGGAGGAGGTTGAAGTCGGAGAAGAGACTATGGAATCTGAGAGAGAAGAAGCGCCGGTGGACGAGATCGCTGGCGACCTCATGGAGAGTATGGAAGTGGCGGAGGCTGAAGAAGCTTCACAAGTGGCGCAGGAAAACGCGTCTTCCGAAGCCATCTTCCCTCCAGCGCTCACTGAGCCTGAGACTGCGGCGCACTGAACCGGTAACGACAGTTCACTGAGCCTGAAGCTGTGGCACCCTGAGTCATGACATCAGCTAGTTGAACGACAAGTGATACAAGTTTTCAATTGTTTTGTTGATGCACTGTGACTAAGTTGGTGCAGTTTTGATGGTGTTGCAAAAGATGTTAGGTGGTGTAGCATGACACTTTTGTAGGTGACATAATGGCAGTTTCACAACTGTTTTGTCCAACCAAAATAGATCTTGCAACCGCTTATCAAATCGCCGGACCTCAATGCAACAACGACTTTAGTGTGACACTCGGTGATAGTTACAAAAATTTTGCCGCGATGTCCAAGTGATGTTTTTCCTGTTTAGTCATTATAAGTCGGAATAGGGAAGAGCTTAACGATGATATGAGAACAGAGAGCAGTGAGTTTGTTACAAGATTCAACTGGTGGACATGAGTGTGAGTGTATTCCAATGGAACAATGTGCAACAATGTTGCACGTCAGGGAAATGACAGGAGATCGGAGCTGAACATTTCGAGTGAACAATCGTCGGCCGTCTGCGTTGGTCACTTTGCGTCGACGGAGATGAAAGACGACCGGTTTTACGCGTCTCATTTTGGCAAGACTTAGCTTTACGGTGCCTCAATATATTTGTTTCTCTACGATAAGTTGCTAGGTATGGTAATTTGCAGCCTCTTGAGGCTCTACCTTACACACGTGACACACACGTCACCTCCACTCGGCCCCCACACTCGCTTGACGCACCAGTAACATGTTCCTCTCACACACGACGCACCGCTAACTAGTTCACTACTGATTCATACCTGCTATTGGGTATTGCAAGTCCACGGTCGCTTGTAAGTTAAATTCATAAGTCTTAGCTTATAGACATTCACGTAGTTGCTCGTGGCAGTCCACGTAGCCCCACGCGGCAATTCACGTAGCTCCACTTAGTGGTTCATTCAGCCCCACGTCACAGTCACGTCTCGTTGGTAAACAAAACAAATTCAGAAGCAGACACTCGTCTTATTTATTTATAATTATGGAGATCGTTGGGGAGATCCTGACGTCAAGTTACCAACATGTATTTGTTCTACGTTCAACTTTCTACGAACAAAAGTCTGTAGGATTAAGGGAGAGTTATCGCAATAGATTATCTAAGGCTTATTCTTATCACTGGTGCTGCCTTATCTTCTCGTTTCTTTCTATAGTTTTCGTGTTCTTGCCGCTCGAGCAACGGTCAAGCCTAAGCGGGCTCAAACCCATTACCCTTTAATTCCTACTCCCGGAGCAGCGGCTATACAGGGTTCTCCAAATCCTTAGAACCCTTAACCCCCTTATCGATGAGGATAGAAGTGAGGCACTGGGGAACAGAAATACGTAAAATACGGGAAATATTAATGTAGTTCCCTTGTCTTGTGATCAGCGATTTGTGACCTCCAACAGCCCACTTCGGGGACCTCTGCTCTAGGAGGTTGCGCGGCTCGTTATCTAGAGGAGCATGCTAGGTGAGAGCGTAGTTCTTGTTGTAGATTATTTACTTTAATTTGTTCTTGCAATAATCGTTGATAGTCGTATGTGTTAATCGCTACAGCCTTTTTGCGGCTGCTGCCCTCTTAGCTTCTGACCACCAGACTGTGCTGCGGTCATACGTTCTGCGAGTACAGCAACTTCAATGCCGTGAGTACTGCGAACGTCGTAAGTGGTACGTTTGTCGTAACGTAACCACCAAATCTCGAAGGCTGGCGTCTGAGCTGTATGCTCATTCCCCGGGACTTCATCTCGTGAACTTACGACATCACAAGTACTTACGAGCAACAGGCGTTAGCCTTTTCATTCATTTCATTCATTGCCTTGACATTCATTGGAGGTACCGTTCCGTGGTACCGCAACCCAAGACAAACCTAACCGGCTCGTTGCGTTCTCTGTCGCTCACAATTTGCTATTATAACTATTTGTTTACTTATCTATTTACGCAATTTTCTAACCTTATTTGTAGTTTTTAAATTACTTTTTCACACATTTTAATATAAGATTTGCTTTGCAGTTCCACCTTCTGGATTGTGGTGGTCGAAGTTGTCAAGCTTCTCAAGATAACAGTTAGGTTAAGACCAGTTGTTATCTCTAGACTGGAAAAAAGCTGTAAAATTTCTAAATTGATTTAAATTAATCACTCGAATTTATTTACCATAGCTTAAAATTTCATATCTAATTGCTTCTTTGTTCATAAAATTGTTCACTGAAGGATGCGTATAAAGTATTTTTTCTAATTTTTTACCACTTACAATTATCACTTTATTTTTTGGTGACAATGTGCAATCTTACAAAATGTATTCGTATTTTCTTCTATACATAAAATAATACTAATGCTGCCATGATCACAAATTATTCATCAGCTCGATGAACTAAAAAAGTAAGGCATATTTATAAATTGGATAATTAACCGCATATATTTATTACGTCGTGTTCCAAATTACCAATGCAATGGGGTACCTACTAAAGTAGGTACGGTAGCGAAGTTGTTGTCAACTTCGCCAACAATTTTCTATGAAGCCTCCTGATTTGAAAGAAAACTGCGCAGAAAACGATTTGCGTAAAAGTTGTGAAATTTACTCTACAATTTTCAATCAGCGCTTCATTAAATTTAAAGCTCGTATTACTATATTTTCAGCGATTAAGTCGACATCGAAAGAAATAGCAAAGAAACCTTTCAACTAATCGAAGTGTTAGGTTTAATTAACCCTAGGTATACATTAATTATTGGTGTCTCGGTATTTATATTGAATTTACACGGAAACGTTATTTTTTATTGGGAAAAAGAAACGGTGTTTAGGGAAATTATATTTTGGAGTGCAATAGAAACTGGTGGCAACACGTTCGTTATTTCGAGCAGTGCAATGAAACTCTGATTAGGTTTGGTTAAACTTGTTCATGTTGAAATTATGACGGCGGGTATATGAGCGTTGAGTTGCAACTCTATTAGGTATTGTTCATAAGTTCTGTGACGTGTCAACCTCATGTAGCCTGTTCAATTTTATTTTACAATTTTATAAAATTATTTCATTTCAATTATTTTCTTTGCTGCCTTGTATTTGATCTGTATTTATAACCTCGTAATTTTCTTCAAATATTTATAAAAACACAGGCGCTACATCGGCGGCCGGCAATGTAGCGTCCCTAAGGTTATAATATGGCAGCGGCTGCGCCCGCTATCTTAAGTGTCCTTATCAACCTTATCTCCCTCATCCTCCTATCCCCTGCCTTCAATACCCATGTTTGTATTATCGAGATTTAGTGAATGTTTAGCAATTTCCAATTAAATCAAGATTGTTGATAATCAAGGCATAATGATTGTTAGATATCAACGCAGAATATCTGCCGCGATATGAAAAAGTTCTATTGAAAAAAGACGCAGAGCGAAGTTTACTAATTCCTAATTAGAAGATGTAGTTGTTACTACTTACGCTTAACTACCATTAATGCAGCGGACGCTAGACCTACTACTTAATCAGGTTCTCATTAAAGTCCTTAACTCGAGCCCATACCTAATTAGGTGAGACGGCTCGTCCTGTGCGCTGCTGTGCCTTACGTTTTGCTCGCGTCCAGTAAGATAAGAACTCTTTGCGTACGCGCGTCAGGCGGCGTGGCCGAGATAAGTGCTAACGGAAGCTCTAACTCTAACGTAATTCATTAACAAGTCGATAAATACGCCAGTGTTCTTTGACTGGTTATTTCTTCGTTATTTGCAATCGTTGAAAGAACTAAGCGGTAAACAAAGCGCTACCGTTTCAATCTACCTCTTATTCTATTCCTTTAAATGTACTTGCAATATCATCTCCAAGATATGGTTGCTCGCATCACATGCAATAAAAGTAAATATTAATAGGCCTGCCCATAAATATTATTATAATTATTTATTGGTCATATTCCAGGCGAAGGTTGCATCAAAATAGCGATGAGCTGAAATTGGCTCGCCATGTGTCGTCTCCTCAGGCCGCTGGCACATTGCTGGACCCGTTCGGGTGTATCAAATCCTTATATTATTGAACAAATTTCATGAGATACGCATGTGCCGAACTGTTTTATATGTCTGTTTAAAATATTTTTACTGGCTGATGAGTAACTCTCCTATTCATGACATTTTTTATGTATTGATGACGCTGAACATTGCGCTGCCGCTGTTTACAGGCCTATCCTTGCATAGGCCTATTCCTCGGTCCTCAGGCCTGGATCGATCTCAGGTCTCTTCTCGTACAATTATCTCGTGCCTAAACTTATAACAAATTATGCAATTGATTTCAGTTTAAAGCAAAGAGTCCAGATCATACCTCGTGTCCGGTATAGTGGCCTGGGAGCCGCAGGATTTGCACCATATCATTTTCTGTGTGTTAATTTGACTCGCGCCTGCAGTGTGCAGAGTTTGCAGTAGGTATACGACGTGTTATTGTACGGTCTGGTTAAGTGATTCACGAGGCTTATCTAATAAATTAAACTTATTATTTTTTCGAGCAGTCACCCCTGTATAATACACAGCGCTCGCGTTAGCACTACTGTAAAATACAGCCGTCTTTTAGGCGGCCACCGGACTGAATTTTGGCCGTCGCAAAGACGCCGATTATTCATATATAGGATAGACGTCACGCACTGCATCACTTCACAATCACTAATCTATAATAACATAACTTTACTAGTGAATTATAACGAACGTCTGCTGAGGTATAACGATCTCTCCGTATTTATACATCGTAGTCCTGATAGTGAAGGCAATCACCTCACAATTTCTGTGTCGAGTTTTATTATCTGATGTTGTCCGGGCGTTACCGGGGCCGTTGTCACAACATGACCTTCATCATCCATCAGAATTTGGTCATTTATTTGAGTGTACGAGCGAACAAGAACCAGCAGTGTTATGGAGCAAAAAATGTGTAGATTTTGCTTACGTTATCATGAAATTCATCGTCTTGTGCGCGCTTAACGAGTTAATGTATGAGGGTGAATGCGTACCGTGCATGGTGAAGACGTCCCGTACCGTGCATGGTGAAGACGTCCCGTACCGTGCATGGTGAAGACGTCCAGTACCGTGCATGGTGAAGAACATGGTGAAGACGTCCCGTAACGTGCATGGTGAAGGCGTCCCGTACCGTGCATGGTGAAGACGTCCCGTACCGTGCATGGTGAAGACGTCCCGTATACGTGTAACACTTTATATCTTTAATAAAAAGCCGATATGAGTCACCGAAAATTTATAAATCTTCGAGGTAATTCTTCTATTTACGATTACCTGAAATATTCTTCAACTATATTTGTAGAAATTAGTTTAATTTATAAATATATTGCCGATAAAACGCTTGTATTACTTTCCTACGTTGGCTCATGACTATTGTTGTCCATCTTTCCAACTGACTAATAAGATAGTGACTTCATATATGTGATTGCATGTAATAGCAACTTCAAATAATAGCAGCAAGCAATAGCAACACGTAATAAAAGCAGCAACTAATAGCAATTTCAAGTGAAAGAAGCAAGTAATAGCAACATCAAATAAAAGCAGCAAGTGACAATGGCCTTAAATAACAGAAAGTTTCAGTGACGTGAAATAATAGCAACAGAAAATAAGGCAAGTAATAGCGGCATCAAAAATAGCCGCAAGTAATACCGGCACCAGCAATCAATCGGCTAAACTCAATAAATAAATTACAAATGATCGCCACCGTCTTCAGTCCCTGACTACGTCTCTCCTCTGACTAGTTTGGAATCATATGACCGTAGCCCATTCACCGCTGCCATTCATTGACGAATTTAGCGACTCAAAAGCTGGATTCATGTGACCATGAGTGCAGTCACTTGAAGGCATGCCAAGCATATTTGCAACCTGCAATTATAGCTCATACGTAATTACTGACGACATAATCAGGGCTTGACGTCGAAATGACTGAGTAAAACGATATGATCCTTCCTTCTTCCTCCTACTGCCATTTTGATAGCTTATCCTATGTTTTGAACGTGTTGCGGAAAAACGGCGCGAGTTTGCGGAAGATATTGCGTCTATTCTGAGAATCAATGTTTAATTATGCTCAATAGGAGGCTATGTGATAATTGAAGATTATTTCGTGTATCTTGATTTTAGTTCATTATAAATCTGAAAGGTGGTTGGATCGAGCAGTGATTTTTGGGTTAGGGACCCACATCTACCTGTAAAAATCATCCCATAATAAATATTATAGGAGACAAGACGAATCCGGCCGAACCTTCACCCGCCATAACATGAAAATAAAAAATATTGTAACTATATCCTTTTCTCACCCAGCGACGGAAAAATATTAAATTTTAATCTGCATGTTTCTGCAACGCATGTATAATTAATTACATAGGTCTCTTGATTATTTATATTGATAATTAGTGATTGAAGGTTATCGAAAATGTTTTCTCCAATTATGGTATATGTTTAGAGTCAGGCTAAATAGTATTCTTGCCTCGTAATGATACTATAGTGCTGTAAAAGTTATTTGTTGGGGATAGTGCTGTTGGAAAGCCCAGGTCTGTTTTTTTTGTAAATTTGATGTCTCTGTCAAAGCTGTTTTAAATAGTTATCTTACTCAAAGTATTAAAAGATGGTAGAGGAATTGACTGATTTTTGGAATCGCACATAAGTACACCGTGTATCATCAAATAACGTGTGTACATTTTATAATAAGCCGCTGTACCGGATTGATTACCAAACGGCTCAAGACTACCGGAAACGGAACTTACGGAAGCTATGTCTTTAGTGTCCAACTAGTTCAGCTATGTGTAGTGTCTGTCTCTCTGAGATTGATATCCTTCCCTACGAGTTCGTTGCAACATCGCAGTAATTTTTAGGTTTAAGTTGCTAAATATAGGAATACAATATTTTGAATGTTAATATGGCAGACACTGTATCCCTGGATTCAGATACCGATGCTCATGGGGAAAAAACGCAGTTGGATTATGACATTAAAACAAAAAAAGGGGAACTTGCTGTAAAAGTTATTTGTTTGGGGGATAGTGCGGTTGGAAAGTCCAAGTAAGTTTTTTTTATAAATTTGATGAAATTGCATATTTGCATTATTTTCTTGTGTTCAGACATTCAAGAAGATGGCTTTCTTATATCTGCATTTTTTTCGTGGTACCTATTTTGAATTTGAATGGTTGAACCAATATTAGAAA